CTCTGATGTTTAAATTGGTCCTCTCTAACCTACCATTACGAAAAAGAAGTCATGCCATTGGACAATGCGACCTCTGCGGTTACGTCATTTCCTGAATTGGATTGTAGAGAGGACCAATTTAAACATCAGAGGTGCAATTTGGATATACGGTTTGATTGTGCGTATGCCATGCACGGAATTTACAAACGAGCGACGGGATGATGTAGCCTGCAGTATTTGCGGTAAGCGTGCCAAGTTTTAGGCCGCTCCGATGCCCGGCAGTATTTTATTTCGATTATTATGTTTAAGTTGGTTTATTTTTGTTTCACAAGCTGACTCTATTTTTTTATTGTCTCTATGGAGGTATATGGGGACTTTACAACATTCGGTTTGAAGGCTTTAACCACTTGTTATAGTTTATTTTTGCATTGTATTGGATTAATGTGGCAGTCTAAGGTTGTCCTAGGTGGTTTTCAAGTTTATGAACCCGGTTTTAATATCATTTAGCGATTTTACGACAATCGTTTACTATCCAATCAAGGTGACAGCCGAGCGTGCACGTATCGAAGACGAGAGTAGTTAACGACGAGTGGTGAACCCTCAGTTTAAAACCCATCTGGCGCATTATTTCTTACTATTCTGATGTCATAGAGATCATTCCAATCGATATCACAATACATAAACCGATTCTTTCAACCAAGAACTCTGATAACAATCTTCTGTTCGGATTGGGACTTTGTTTACGGCAGTGAATTTGCAGTGTACCGCGGCACCTAAACTGTACATTCTCGTGTCAGTAGCACGCGGTTCGAGGTCCCACGTCCACAAACCAATCCCCAAAGGCTTGTCGTATTTCATCAAAATCAAATCAAATGCACGCCACCTATACTACACTACACTAAGCACAACCCCACACTTGATTATGCAGTACACAGAGTACACGCAGATCCAGACTGGCGGAAGTTAAACGTGACATCTGATCTGCTTTTTTGTTCACGGAAGTACTTGAACAGCGTAGGTGGGTTGAATTACGACATTATATAGAGATCTCTTTGCTGCGCGTTCTCCTAACACACGGTCACAATTGCTTTCCAATGGATTGCTGAATATCTGGGTCATCTTTTACCAAGAGCAAGTATTGATTGGCAGTATTCGTACTTTTCGCTAGGGATCCCGAGACGCATCTCTCTAGATCTCGCTTATTTACATTGTATGTGCATAGTCACCGAAAATATGTTGACCTCTACAGAAACGCTCTGTGTTTGAACTGGGCTCGCGTGTACCAGAGACGTCTGGCAGGGGTCAAAGAAGGTTATACGACTGGGCATGTAAGTACTTATTACATACCGATATACGGTCTATTAAAAAATATACTTACATTTTGCTATGTGTATATATTATGTGGTTGTAGGAATTTGCAAGACTCTACAGATAAGAGTGGGTCTATGGATAATGTAAGGTTCAAAGGCACCCATTTCAACATGAAATAAATGCCTTTGGCCCTTATATTCTACATAGACCCGCTAAAATTTTCAACTAAGTCGACTGCAAGCATTGCCTCTGCGCACCTAGCCAAGTACCTGGCCCAGTAATTTAAAAAACTATGAAATTTGAAGTCTCACGATTTTTCAGTCATATAAAGCACAGATTTCGGTTTTGTTATCGTTATACATGCCGGTTTGTATTAAGTTGAGTCTACAAAAACAGAATGTAGAGGCAAATTAGGTGTATTCAATTACTACCTACATCCGTAGGTCAATCTGATTTCAGAGGATTATGCTCAGAGCAGTAATGGTCCATATGCTGACATGTTTCAGATGCGGAATGGGCAGAGAGCATAGAACAGCATGCTCAGAGTTTATTTTTGAGATCTGCGGCCGAAATTTCTGCAGAGAGGGGGTCTGTCAGGCAGCGTTATATTAAAAGAGGTGCATTAGCCTGCATATATTCATGCACACCTAGCATGAATACCACATGGAACGGAGGTTATAAGGCGCTGTAGAATTCATTCGGGTAACACAAATATAGGTATGTGTGTTTACTAGTAGTTGTTTTATATGTACATAATATGTATATTTATTATATACAGGCGAGCACACTGGCAGACATACACTTGCACACACCCACGACCAAACGCATTGCCTGGGAATCTAACTATATTGATTTTGAATACAATATAATTAACGCATCTGTCTGTATGATGATTCACGGAGAATATTAAGACAAGGGACAGTTATGAATTAACGCTTTGCATGCATCTGTTCAGCTAGATAGCTAGGTAATTGTGTGTAAATAATGTAACTTTGATTATTCATCGATATTTACCATTATACTGTTTATGTTTGGTAAAAATGTCATCATGACCTCCATTGAGAACCATTGGCTCTTATTCACAAATCTTTCTCCCATTCTTCATTTCGAGCTGGTAATATGTAAAAATTTTGTACCATATTATTTATTTATTTATCTATTTATTTTTGGAGCCACCTCTTGAAATATAATATAACATCATAATAACACCATAGGTGACATTTCATGTAATTTTCATTAAGAAGAGGTCACGATTATGCATGGCGTTCAAAATGCAACATTCAGAAAGTTTCAGTGTTGCACTGGCTGAGCGGGGACAAAGATCGAACAGTTGATAAAATATTAAATATTAAACGATGGACGAAAGCTATCTTATTTATTTTATGTTATTTATTTATTATTTTACGTAAGGTTTCTCACACTGTATTTAAGCGGGGGGAGGGAGGGAAGACAGAAGTGGGTACAGCGTACGTGTACCTCCGATGCCAAGGGGAGTGGGGAGGCACGTGACCCATTACGGTCGTGGCCTCCATTCGTCTCGCAGTTTTCTTTTAATACTGGGCCAAGATCAGCGGTCATCGATAAGGATGATGGATTTAGACAGGTTCGAAATGTTCGTGAGTAGAATTAGACAAAATGTCATAGCCTCCCGAATTTAGCACAACAAATACGAGGCACCTGAATTAGTGGCATGGTTTTACAACACGAGCGTACTTACATTTTGTTTTTTCAACCCATGGTATATGTTTTTTTTCTAATTTCAGCTGAGCCCACCGTGCCAATGACCCGATAAAGGAAAAAATGAGAAAGATGTTCCGTAACCCTGGCAACGGATACATGACGGCCTTTTTTCTATTATTATTGTTTGGGTCCGTGGCGTTATTTATTATGACATTGCGTGTAGGGCAAGAGGGAATAATGGCCCGAATTAGAGCCTTGGAAACAGCCTTGGAATTGCACCAAGAGAGCCGGAGCGCATTAGAGCACAAAAGTAATGATATATTAAAGCTGGTGAAATCTCTGCACATGGCTTCTTTCAATGGGAACAGATTCTCTCCTGCCAATGGTAAAATCAATGCATCTTCATCATTATCAGAATCAATGCCAAAACTCGTTTTGAGGAGATATGTTAGGGAGTCTTACGATAAGAGTAATCCGTTGTTTTACTTTCAACAGCAAGTGTCGCAGTCGGAAAAAGAATTGCTCATGGAAATGTTAGCAGTTCTAGACCGGGCTTGCTCAAAACATAATATCACATATCTTCTGTATGGCGGTAGTCTCCTGGGTTCCTATAGGCATCATGATCTTATTCCTTGGGATGATGACGTGGATCTTCTGTTCAATATTCAAGAGAAGGCAATATTATTTAAAGCTCTGTCCCAATTCGCTCCAGAATATTACGTCAATAAAGCTGGTCCGCGTTTGAAATTTTTTTCAAAGAACTCGAACTTCACCACTAAATATAGCTGGCGGTGGCCGTATCTAGATCTTCATTTTTACAAGGAGAATCAGACCCATATTTGGGATAGTTCGTATGAATTTCGTAACTATATATACAAGAAATCTAACGTCTTTCCCTTACACCGACGACCTTTTGGTAACGTATACGCAAACGCGCCCTATGATTCATACGCCGTACTTAGGAAAACGTACAAAAGTAGCAAGTGCCAAACGTATTTCTACAGTCACAAGAAAGAGGTGGGAACCAGCGCTCGCATGAGGGTGATTCCATGCGAAGATTTGAGCGATTTAATTCCATTTGTTCACCGCACAAGCGTTGACTTTGGTATAGGTGTTAAAGAAACGCTGAAACTGGGACAGGAAACTCTCCAAGTAGTTATCGTGGACGAACCTTCCTATGCTATAAGTAAACCCTATAAGTTGGAACTAGTTGAGGGGAATTAGTATTTTTTAAACTTTATTTAGCATTCATCAACTTCAAAGTTATGTTTTTTGTATAAGTATTACTTTTGTAGCGGGTTGTATAATTGCATATTTTGGCTGAAGTTATCTATATCTCATGATTTAACAAAAAATGAAAGAATATGTTCATTTGTCTTCCAAATTTATGTATCTTTTTATCCCGACGGAAAAGCCCGAGCGATCCTGATTGAGGTTGCGATCGCCGTGGTTAATGAACATCAATAGCTATAGCTGTGATTTATGTGGACACAGAAATCCCTACGGTGCTATGGTATAGTTTGATCTTTTACATATATTTATATATTATAATCTTATGTAAGGACGTAAGAATTGCTTATAGATAAAATTACATAATGCTGTTCTAGGGTAGATAAGGATGCTGATCCTCGAATGCAGTGATTTTTCTGTCTTACAGAAGTATATACCGGTCGTATAATGCAGTTTCTGTGGGTATCTCATCAAAAGTTATCTATGAAAGTGAGGTGTACATGTTTTAAAAATACTGAATCAGCGATACGGCTCATTTCATACCGAAATGTGCTATCAAATATTGAAGTATCTGATTGTTACAAATGGACATAATGGGACATTTTATGTCAATTTGGGCTAAAGGTTCATAAGCTACGAAATGGTTCTATTTGAGTTATAAATTAGACCAGGACTGCTGCTTGTACTGAAGTGGTTTGGTTAAGTTGATTACTGCTATTGTAATTTAAATAGCTTGTTTAATACCGATGAAGAGAAACATGATGATCGCATAGGTCGTGATGAATCGATATTATTATTATTATTATTATTATTTCATTGACTTACTCAGTTGTTGATTTTTTCTGGGAAAGTGTACATTTTTCCTTTTAGTGAGATTCGGCAAGTTAAGTTGTGGAGATCATGAACATATATTCTAAATATTTGCGTATTCTTAAAGGGGCATCCAATGTCGTTAACATTCCCAAGATGGAGTATCTGGAGTATGATTTGATTTATTTTTCAATATTGGGTCGCAATTTCGACCCTCAAGAGGCAATACGGTAAATACAGCTGATTTGGTAAATAGAAGTTGGACGGACTTTTTATACGCCTTGGATAAAATGGAAAAAGCTTGAACATCGTTCCTGTAAGGCAGGTGGCTGATAAGTTGGTTTATGAGTTCGATTCACCTTGATTTTGAGGATATCAGTATTTTTCGCACCTATTTTTTTTTTTTTTTTTTTTTTTCAAATTGGAAAAAAAATGTTTCTAAGTTTGGGTACTGGTTTGATAAGTAAAAGACAATAACAAATGACATCATATCAGGGAAAATCTTCACGATGTTGATTTGATGCTTTGAAATCGCCCGTGCTTCAGATTTGACATTTCCACCCCACCCCCCTCCAAAACTCTAAAATTAAGCTTGTGTTCTCTGTTCTCTTCAATCTTTATATGTTTAAAAAAACTTAAAATAAATTTCGTCTGTCGACCTACAGAGGGTCGCCGCTTGTTGATCAAGTCATCAATTTTGCCTGTTCTCATAGTGGAGAAGATCAAATCCTACGAGCCCAGTCTTCCTTGTTTGCATTATCTTTTGAGAAAATTATTTTAAAAAAGACTTAAAACAGACAGACAGTATTACTTTATCAGCCATTTTAATGAAATGCTGTTTAGGGAATTTTGAATTGTATTAGTAGAATGAGATTTTCCTTGGGATGTGTAATTTTAGTTTATGTGACGTTTGATGTTTGATAATAAAAACATGAATTACTAAACCTTGAAATTACTTGTTTTAACGTGTCATTTTGAAAAATTATATTTGCAGGAGATACCCATGTTTGACTTACGAAGGTTAGGCCCCTTCTATGTCCTTAAATCATTGCCAAGGGTTGAATAAGAAGTCTTGCATATATAGCCTACTGGTAGGCCTATACAATGTACCAGCAATACTTTTAATTGCGGTCAGGACTCTTAGAAAAACAGTATGCTTATTGCTTTAACTGCAGAATGTGTTTTATGACTCATATAGCACAGGCTTTGAACATGTACCATAATATGGAAAAAAAATTTTTTTAAATCTGTTATCAGTTTACAACCAATGCCTCATTGTGGTTCTCTGTCCGATTCCTGATTGCGACGTGCACGCTTGGAGGCGAGAGTACATGTCACACCTACCACAACCATACACCATCTTGTCTCAATCTCATTGCAGAAAACCCAATACTTTCATGTAATTGAAAAGTTGAACATATAGGCATATAGAAACTTGGGAATTAAAACAAGATTACTAACTAGTAATATGGAAGCATTGTGGAGTGAATTGTGTGAATACAACAAAATGATAATCATTTCGCTTTATTCTAAAGAAATTGAGAAAATAAGATCTTCGTTTATTTATTTATTTCACCTATAAGCAGCGCATGTAAAACAATGTGGCCTAATATACCAAACTGGATATTCAAATAAATAATTTTATATATCACATAGTGCTTTTATATTTTATGGATCTTCTTGTCTCTAGGTAATCATAGAAGCTCTCTTTTACCTGATTGATCTTTTCACTGAAAATTAAAACATTGCGTCGAGATAAATAACTGACATCTTAAGGGAAATATAGGGCCTATTTGCATTCTCGCAAATTGTTATCGTAAAGATGACCTTCCTTTTTCTATTTGCTGTCTACATATTTTAATGCGCATTGTACTCTATCCCCTCATAACGAAACAGAAAACGACATTTCTATACTGATTCACTGTGTAATAAATGTATAAAAAACTTCCTCTATCGACACTTTTGAACAGACGTTTCTTTTTCCTTTTTTTCTTTTTAGGGTAAATCTTTGGGCATAGAAAAAAATTTTAATGAATGAAATTTCATACAGGCTTTATAGAAAGATATCGTATAGCCTTCATTCCCCCCAAATAAACTTTTTTATCCTAGTTTTCTACAAGTCCTTCTGACTAATTTGTTGAGAAAATAAACAGGAAGGACAACAAATTTATAGACGTTAGTAAACTGCTTCCAAATCTTCAGTTACGGGGTCAAATATGTTTACTTAAATAATATTTCTGCAAATAAATTAAATGACGGCCAATCATTTTTCCAAAGTGAAATGAGGTTGGAATGGTCGAGTTACTTAGCTCGAAGCAAGTTATAATCAAGTCTTCCTTCATTTAAAGCTTTTACGAAGCAATCAAGTGACTTTTATTGTGTTTGCAACCTGCCAAACCGTTACAGCATATTTAACATCAAAACAACTTTGCTGAACAAACAAATGTATTGTTCTTTTTGAAAACGAGCAAAACAGTCGTGTTTGCATTACCGCCCTGGCTCTGTGAATGCACAACAGCCGCTCATCATGCAAATACACAAATATCTATAAAAACATGGCGTTAAAAAGAAATAAGATTGTGTTTCTGCGATAACGCCGGTTTTTAGTCCGCTCATTTCAGCTGGGTCCGCCTACAAGCCAAAAAGTGCTTATCCCCATATATTGGGTCCATATAGTTGTGCAACTAGTTTGATGGCGAATGTGCCCCCATGCAGCTGAAAAAGTATACCACAATTACGTGAGAGAACAGTAGTCCCTTTTCACCTGTATGCATTATCCAGCAACGTAAATCTTTTTACAACATACACATATACAGCTGAATATATCACATTTACGACACAGAAAGTGGACAGTGATATTTTTTCATCTAAATTATCGATTATCAGGGCAGCACGATAAAACTTTCATCATTTTCATTGTACTTGCGAGAGAACTTTAGTTCGCTTCACCGAAAGTCCTTCACGCAGAATCGGAATACGTTGTGATCAAATTTACATGGTGGCTTTATTCTCTCTTTCCTTCAGTATACATTCAGTGCTTTATAAAAAGACACAGAGTACATAGAAACAGAAATATCATTAGGATAAACCCTAAGGAAATTTGAATTATTTTCATAAAGAGACAGTCTTTATAGTATGCATTATTATCATTGCATTTTTACTAAAGTGCTTGCAAAACGTCATATTCCATAAATGCACTATTATGAACTATTTGTTAAGAACTAATTTATATTCTGATATCCGCATTTGTTCCTTCAAGTTCTCATCCACGTATACTTCTTTTCTATTTTATTATTCATGTCTAATATGTCTCGTGTTTTATAAATATCGCGCATGAAAGTGTGTGCCACTTAATTAAGAAAAAAAGTAAACAACCAGATTAGAACAAAAACCCAGACCACTTTCACACCTGAAGATATTACGCGAAGTGCGTGTTGAGTGTTGAAATAACCATCAAATAATAACGACAATAAAACAAACAAGGTAGAACAGAGACAATATGCCTTGCATTTCTTTCAGGCAGTTGATTCTGAGCTCGAGATTTTATCGTCCTCGATGGTTTTTGTTCAGATCTTCTATTTTCACAGTGTCGGACACCTGTACAGCTGATCCAGCACGCATCGTCCTATCCCTGACACGAGCTGAAATAACCATGTGGTTATTTAACAAATAAAATGAGGAATTCATAGAATTAGGTAGTTTGAATTTTGTCCACGATCCAAATTCTGTGACCAACACATTATTGTTTCGGTGGTTTTTGTCCTGTGTTAATCCATCATCTTTTTGATTTTTTTGTCCAAATACTATATATATATATATATATATATATATATATATATATATATATATATATATATATATATATATATATATATATATATATTTTTTTTTTTTTTTTTTTCAAAACATATTCAGAAGGTGCCTTAATTTAAAAATAAAAATAAATGGCGGGATTACAGGATCGTTCATGTTTTTTTAAGTCAGTGTGTGTGAGTGTGTTCTTTTTTATCATATATTATATTTATTCATAAATTTTTGTTTTTCAACACCCATAGGGCCACGCATTACAGGAATTTACGTGCTTTTACTCAAAGGGAAAGAGAATATCTTATTAACAAAGCAATTAAAGGAAATGCAAATAAACTGCACGTCGCTATCAACGTAAACACAAGGGTGCGTTGCAAGAAGGCGGGTCTTATTACCTGTGTCTATTGTATTATACCTAATTAGGTTCGGGACGGGCTGCCAGCCTGGTCGCCAAAAGTGTATCCCGACCTAGACGGCAGACAGTTCGTCTGGCATCCCATGTTGTTTTTGTCAACTTTTTTATCCTTCGCCAATTTCCCGTCTATAAAATGTTCCGTGGATCTAACCTCTTTACAATGAATGGGTTCATCGATTCATGGAGAGCTCATTCAGAGGGCCCAAAAGCGTTCTGCATAACCAAAATAGGCGCATTGACAAACAGTAACAATGTAAAGCCAGTAATTATTTATGCCGATTGTTTTCTATTTATTACACGTAAAATGCTAGGCGTCTTGCTATTGATCCGTGGCCGAAGTTTTGAAATGCACGAGGACTTTCTCTGCATTTCCCAACTGAATTTTCAACAATGTTTGAAACCTTATGAGTATTGCGCAACTGTTACGCTATAATCCTTCACGAAAGGAGGATTCGGCGATTTTTTATGTGTGAACCGAGCTTGTGCTAGATTTGGAGGGGTATCGGCTCTTGATGCCGTTGTTTACCACACGTTATCGAAATAATATCAAATCAAATAAAAGTGTTTACCGTTGATTTTATGCCTCATTTAGTAAGCAAATAAAACCTGTAGTAGAGTAAAGATGAGAAGAATATATTCTTTTCAATAAAGTAATTTGTTGTAGAATGGGGTGTTTAATTTTAAGCACTTAGGAAGTGAGATCCAGAAAATGGAGTAAAAAAAAATAAGGCTTCGGATATTATGTAAAAGTTAACGTCCTGAGAATAGCCATGTCCGTCTTTTGTCTATGGATAGCAATTGGTGTGTAATTAAAACTCCGTCAGAATCGATATCGCGGCTCCTGCCAGTCAACCTATGTCCCGATAGCCAAGGAGAAGCCGTTTGTTAACCGCGGGCGAAAGAAAAACGTGAAGCCAACACCGCCTCGAGACTAGCGTGTGACTACGATGACAAAGCAAACTAGCTTCCTTTTGTTTTCTCTTTCTTTATATGTTTATTTGAAAATCAACCTCGCAATCCCCAAAACAGAGCATATTTCTTATTTATTTATTTACTTCTTTAATATATATTTGATGTTGCTTTGAATTTTGCTATATAGGCCTATGTTGGAGCTCAAAATTCCAAACACATCGCTTGAAAAATAATTGACACATAATTGACATAATCACTCACGAAATTAAAGTACGTGACAATGTACTTTTTAAAGTACTTACTTAAAAACTTTCCCTCTCTATTCTGTATTTACTGATCAGCTTGGTCAATCACATCACTTTTTAGTCCCGCATTAAATATCCATATATGATGCAACCAAGGTTTTATGCAGTTAAGCTATGTACACACGGTTTTACAATCCAAATTTCCGACCCTCTCATTCCCACCATTAAGGATACCGTATCTGGGTTTTACCCAGGGTCTTCAGGTATGCGAACCTGTGTCAACTAGAGTTCCATCCATCGCCAGGGTAAATAATTCCGGTCCAAGCTTTTTCAATTAAACTGAGGTGAATTGCATTGATTTTTGTTGAGGCTGTCTACCTCGGGTTGGCTGATGTTATATACTCGCATGTTTGCAAGGTTTCGCCCGAGAGTTGGAACAGTCTTCTATTACCAGAACTTGCATTATGAAGTTTCCTAAATTTATTCATAAAGGTCACAAAAGGTTGGTCCTTATAGAAAACATGAATTTCAAGACCACTATGTGTTTGTTACTTTTATCGATGCAAGCTGCCGCGTACAATCGGAGAAAAGTAAGCGAGACTGAGCTAATATTTGATAAAAATGTTTAACTTCGCCAGACAAATGTTGTCAAATCATAACTTAGAAGTTGATACACCACTTAGTGAAGAAGCTCGACTTATGTTAGAAAAATAAACGATAAATCAGTGTAAATTTGCTTTAACCTTGTCAAGAAGTTTTCTTAACACTACATGTTCTTGTCCTTGAGAATTCGTTTAATAGGACAAGTGCAGAAACTGATTTTATAATTGTTACAGAAAAACAATCTGGAGAAAAGGGATCATATATCTTTCTCATTACCCCATTATTGTACGATATTTTGACATCAAATGTTTCCATCATTTTGAATTTTTTCCATAAATGATCAAATCCAACCAGTCACAAGCGAATAACTCCTGATAATATTTCACTCGCATAGACCCAAGCGTAATGGTCGGTTCCGAGACATCTAGAAAAAGCGGTGCAGGGAGTTTGTTTATGTTCGGATTCACAACAAAGCCTGATTAAACCTCACAGTTAAAAGGGAACAATGATTCCAGCATTTAAAGTGCCACTGAACAAATAGCCCCAACACCGTTATTGAGAGGACCCTGTTGCTCCAAATTAGTTGACCTTAATTTATTGTCCTTCGTACAGGTGGCCACAGGTGATGTTTTGTCATCTGTGGCGAGAAACCCGTGAAACTTATTAAGAGGCGTATTACTGTCAGTTTGGCTGCCACGGACACCTGTATCGTCAGGTAGGTCATTGTGAAAGGCCGCTACACTAAGTGGACAATTTGTTCCTTTTGCATTTCTGAATTTTAACTAGCTGTTATTAGTCACGATTTGGATGTCAACCAGTGAAGCTGTTTCCGAAGTCCACGTGTCACCTCTCCCCCAACACAAGAGGAGGTCTGCTTTGCCCCTCCCTTTTTACTGTATCCCGTAATAAGATCATAATGCACGAAATTAGCACAATAATCATGAAAATTGGGCCCTAAAATATCAGGTGAATGGCATGTATAATTTTGGCATTACTATATAATATGCAACATCAAGATATTTCACAGAGCATAATTTTGGATTAAAATTATGCTGAGTTTTTATATCTAAATTTATTTATTCAATGTTGAATCCAAAAATTTTACTCTAAAGTATCTAGATAATCATAAATAAAACTAAATCATTTTTTTAAATCAAAGTCTTTTATCAAGAAAACCGATGATGGGTCCCTGGCTGCTCTCGTTCAGATATCATAATGATTTCTCCATTGAAAATTAAGCTCTGTTTACAGGAGTATACAGGTATTATGTTCCCATAGAGAAGACTACAAAACGCAAATAGCAGGGAAACACTTGAAAAACAAATCTTTCACTTCCTACAGTACTGTCTTGCAATAAGAATTCAATTTTGCTTGACAAATATGATTTTCGAGGAGCGAGTGTCACAAAGAACCTAGATTTTTCAGTACTACTCGACATCGGCAGGTGGCATGCAACTATCCGTAACTATAGAGCCCAAATATATATAGGAGTGTCATTCACTTTGTGGCAACAACCCCAAACAAGGCATGGGTAAAAAATCTAAATCCCGTCTCCACAATACGCATGGCTTCATCCCAAGCAAGGTAGAACATTTATAAAACTCAATACGTGAAGTCGTGGATTGACCTCACTGAAGAGAGCAGCCCTTCGATTTTTGCCTGGGGACAGTTATGCCTTATTTTTATATCTTTACAAATTGCTCTGTACATCGCGCCACGGTCACATTGATATTGACGTCAGGAACCCGCCTGGGCGCTTACTCATGACACATCTATTGGAAATGCGCATAAATTTTTATGTTACCTATCGTCCTGCTTTTGATTTTTTACGACTTGATCGTCTCATGATTCAATAAAAATACTACTATTTTACTTTGATAACAAATTTGTGGACAAAACTTACACTTCAGCTTGATGGTTATACTACAAAACCGTCCGATCTTGATGATGGCGGCCAATTAGTATGCACAAGGGGCGGGGCGAAGCGGCTTAATTTACCTGCGCGCAGTTTCTGTTTGGACGCGTGTTATAGAAGGGGGCGGAGTCAGGATATCTTACAAGCCATAGGTATATTTACCCAGGGTCAACCACTCTACACTGTATTTGCTCCACGCAAGCTATCAAACTGTGTCAGCACAGGGTGCTACTAGGACTACTTTCTTATCTCAACTCATGCTTGGATTGGGACAGAACCGAGAAAACCCATACAAGACCAGCTGAAGGGACCATCTGTGATCCTAACTTTGACGGCGGTGACTTGCAGTACACGGCGCAGTAAAGCGAAAGAGGTAAATTCCCTCCAGTTGAAAAACCGCGACTGCAGCAGTTCCTTAAGTCATGAATCTTGCGAAATCCCCCTACGACACCGTGAGTACAAGTGGGTACTCCATGTCTTCTATGCCAGGGATGAACACAGCCTATGGGGGCATGACAAGCATGGGTTATCCCCAGCAGACTATGCAGACCATGCAGACCATGGGCTCCATGGGCGGTATGCCAGGTACAGGTATGGGCGCAATGGGCATGGGCCATATGGGCATGACTGGTATGAACATGGCCAACATGGGATCCATGGGAGGCATGAATAGCATGGGTATGGGTACCATGGCGGGACATATGAACGGAATGAGTCCCTCTATGTCTCCCGTTGGCCTGGACCATCAAGCGCTTAACAGAGCCCGTGAAAAGACTTACAGACGTAGTTATACACACGCCAAGCCGCCTTACTCCTACATCTCCCTCATCACAATGGCGATCCAACAGAGCCCCAGCAAAATGTGTACCCTCAGTGAAATATATCAATTTATCATGGACTTGTTTCCGTTCTATCGTCAGAATCAGCAAAGATGGCAGAATTCAATCCGCCATAGCTTATCCTTCAATGACTGTTTTGTTAAGGTACCGCGCACGCCCGACAAGCCAGGGAAGGGCTCATACTGGACCCTCCATCCAGATTCTGGAAACATGTTTGAAAATGGCTGCTATTTGAGAAGACAGAAAAGATTCAAGGACCCGAAAAAAGAGTCACTACGTACGGCGGCAAAACATGGTATGGGATCCCCCGATTCCAAAATGGACTCCCACGACGATAGCGGCGACGAACAACCCCCTCCACTCGGACCGCAGCAGACGACGCAGCAGCCCCCGCAACAAACGCCGAACAACACAGGGGAAAACAACACAGAACTGCCCCCAAAGGCTGAACCGATTCCTCCTTCCCATTCTCCGAACCACCAGGTTGTTCAACAGTCACACACGGACATGAGACCCGCAGCGACGTACATGGACGCTCAGAGTATGATGCAAATGCATCCCGGTCAGATGAACGGGCCACATTTCAATCACCCTTTTTCAATAAGTAACATTATGTCAGCTGAAAATAAAATGGACATGAAAATGTATGAAAGCATGCAGCATGCATATTATGGACAAATGCCGTCGGCGGTGAATATTGCTAAAGAAGCCAACCCTAACATGACTACAGACGGTGATTATTACAAATACGGTCCTCCCCAGTCCTCCGTCACAACAAGTTTATGAACAGAACAAAAACTGCACTAAAATGATATACCAAAGAGTTTTTATTCAAGGGTAGAACCGCAACAAAACCTAACTCTTCTTTCGACTGCCATCTGTCCTTGGATTAGTCCCGAGGGTCACAGCAGATTGCATTTATATTATCAGAAAAAGATTCTAAGAGTTTACGGTGAGTTTTTTTATGTACCTCACCAAATAACTTTATAACATTAATGCATTTACCGAATTGCCAATTGTAAGGAACATTAACTTCTGACAGCGGATGTTGTTCAAATTTGATGAGCGGACTCGCGCTGTCTTTCTAAATCAAAATGGAGAGGTGCGTATTCCTGTATTCTTTGTGCCATTCTTTATTTTCTCATGAACCGTTCATCATTTACAAGACAATCAAAGCAACATTGTTAGCGAACTTGTTTCCATTTAAGAAAAAATATTGTCAATACTTATTATATTTTGTCATGGGGCGGTTTTTTTATTTTTAAATATTTAGTATCAATGCGAAATGAGTATGTATTATTATTAATATATAACATAAACCATGGTGCCATTTAAAGCAGATGATCAAACCTAGAACACCACCATTATTGCATTATTGTATATGTGTATCTCCTTTTCCTGAAAACAGAGTAGAGCGTAATTTATCAACTTCTTATTTCAAATGAAGTTTTAAGTATTTTGTCTATTTGTTTTGTAGTAGAGACGGTACACAAGAGTGTATAGGAAGTGATTGATTTAGATTAGGGGAATACTGGTGTAAATATTTAAATATTTTATCAGAAAAAAATGTTTTCCATAGGGAAATAGAGGAGAAACTGATTGCTAATTCTGTCTTATATCAACATAACATGTGATTTTAATATGAGCAAATGTAGATGTAAAATATTTGAGCAAATCTATTTTGCTGAACAGGTAAATAGTAATAAATCCACAACCCTTTATCAGAAATTGTTTGTTTGTTAGGTTGTACAATCGTTGGGTAATGTTGACACTGACTGTTTACACAATTCTTAATGTGGACGACAGTGGAGGCGGGCAGAGAAGGGTTTAAAATATATTCAATGGAGGCGGGAAAATTATTAAATGAATTCTATTGAGTTGCATAAAAAAAAACAGAGCAGGAAAGAGAAAAGAAAATATAAAAATTGTTTTGAATGGAGATCAGCTGCCAAAAAAATATAAAAGGGATTAATTTTGTAATTTTCAAATCACGGACATTTACAATATATGTATACCAAATATTGAAAAAGAAGACGTATAATTTGGATCACTGCAGCTTTTCACCTTATTGCTTTAAGACTTTATGATGAACAAACTCCTTCAACAAGTTGGCAACATATTTTAGAGAAAGAGCTGATACGAGTTTGGGAAAATGAACTTTCGAGCAATATTTACCTTTTTTTTACTTTTTGGTTGCAAGAGTGAATAATTTGCTGATAGTCTGTGTCAGTTTAACTCGAATTCTTTTTGAATCATTTCTATCTACAGTTCAAGCACACATACGAAATAGTTTGAAGTGAGTTAACTCCACGTCCACAGTTTTAGGGTGTTTCATTAAGGTTAGATTTCACAAACAAACCTCACCCTTACCAAATGTCCTGGTAAAATCCAATTGATAGCCCTACATTCAAAAATGTTTGTTGAGATTATGATATATGAAAATATGATGAGAAATGTAATTGCCTGACCGTCATGTGTTTATAGTTCTTTTGAAGCTACAATAAAACACAATTATAACGCCCCTATTAACACTCATGTGACTTCAAATGAACGTTGTGTTCATGTCTTTCTTTTCCACAGAAAGTGAAGAATACGCAATTTCGAAAATATATAATTTCACTCAGACAGTTAGCAGACATATTTAGTGATCTTCAAGGGAAATGTTCTTCATAAATGCAGGACAGCCATTCCCACAGTGTGTGTCATATCTCCTGCCATGCAAGCTAGGACTTTATCTTCCTAGCCTCCGCGCTGTTGATGCCGTCACTATCAGTCGCGGATGCGTTGCTAGGTTCACCGGGCTTTTACCTTTGACGCGTGCGATAAGACTATGATAAATTCCTCGACCTGCTAGCGCGCCTTGGGTAACAGCCCTTCTCGCTATCGAATCCAGCTTATTTTGAGCCGACTCAATAGGGCCAACAAAACCTGACTCAGTTTCCTGCAAAAAGGAAGGCGATTAATGAAATTCCTGATTTGGGACCCTTACTGCTATCAAGGCTTATATTAATCACGCATGATACTAATCGAGACTTGGAAGCCCGAACATCTGCAAAGCGACGCACGTTTCAGTCTGAAACACAACCTTCGTTTTACCTTTAATGACAGGTTTTTCTTTTCTTATGATGCTAAATATAGTGTCAAGTGATACATACTATTTTCGATTTTTACTTTTGGTTTTTTCTTCTAAACAGGATAATATCGCAAGATTCAAACAGGACTTCAAAATGACAGACAATGTCCTACCCGAAGCCACAGCGGATTAAAAATAATTATTCGAGGTTCATTTTCCCTTTTCACTTTGCAACAATGCTCCCCTGATGTGAAACCATTGAATAATTAATTTGAAACCCATGATAACAATAAGAAACGAGTTAAATTATTCTCGCCCTCAGATGCCCTTTTTTATGCGATGGCTTCCTGATTTACATTAGAGTATTTTTTTTCCAATCTACTTTCATTTTTATTTGCAACTATTTGAATTGATGATTTTTTGTGTAAGCACAAGGAAGTTAAAAAAACCTAATGCATGCAAAAGTTTAGAACTGAGAATGAATGAATGAGAAAATTGCAAGACTGCAAAATTACAACCGGCCCAAAGTATGAATAAGATATTAATGAAATCTACACGACACCTTAGATTTTTATATTCATCCTTAACATTTTATTTTCATATAATTTGATATCATAAGCGGGCATGGATATGTATATCAGAAAAAAATATGCCTATATCTTATAACTGCTAGCACGATAAGACGCGCAAATTGTTGATTCAACATATCTATTTTCAGCTCTATTTTCTATCTTATTTGGTTTCATTATCGAAGAATTTTCATATAATAGACGCGAGTTGTTTAATGAAATGATAAATGTGTCCACTTATATTCTTCCTAAAATTAAGTTAAATCTCATTCGCTGATGATTTAAGTGAGTTTAACAAAAAAAGTTAATAAAATAGATAAAAATAATTTAAAAGCAATTATAAATGATAAATATATATTACAATTACTTGACAAGATGTTTAACTTTTTTTAACCTTTACATCATTATCGTCGCAATTATTTGCCTTTTTTTGTACAAGCCTAAAATATAATTTCCCCTTTCTATCTACATGTATGTATATGGATACAGACAACTATGTATATTTGTATATATATTCCACGGTTCCCATAGGGGATTCTATGTAGAGATGTTCTCATGCCCTTTTGGTATTGACAAATGAGATAACTATAATCTCAGTCGCACAAACACACATTATCTTAACAGAATAAGGTGACACAGAACTTCAAGTTACTCCGGAACCATTTAAGTGACTGGGTAGGGCTGGTGTTAGTCCTTTTCTTCCTGGCCAACATGTTGAAGTAGGCCGCGATAAATTTTTTCATGACTTCGTAATTTTGATAAAAACTTTTTCTGTGAAACCATACGCGNAAAAAAAAAAAAAAAATTTTTTAAAAGTAGATAAACGCAAAAAAAAAAAAAAAAAAAAAAAAACATATATATATATATATATATATATATATATATATATATATATATATATATATATATATATATATATAAAAGGGATTAATTTTGTAATTTTCAAATCTCGGACATTTACAATATATGTATACCAAATATTCAAAAAGAAGACGTATAATTTGGATCACTGCAGCTTTTCACCTTATTGCTTTAAGACTTTATGATGAACAAACTCCTTCAACAAGTTGGCAACATATTTTAGAGAAAGAGCTGATACGAGTTTGGGAAAATGAACTTCCGTGCAGTGTTTACCTTTTTTTTCACTTTTTGGTTGCAAGAGTGAATAATTTGCTAATAGTCTTTGTCAGTTTAACTCGAATTCTTTTTGAATCATTTCTATCTACAGTTCAAGCACACATACGAAATAATTTAAAGTGAGTTAACTCTACGTCCACAGTTTTACTAAGGTGTTTTATTAAGGTTAGATTTCATAAACAAACCTCACCCTTACCAAATGTCCTGGTAAAATCCAATTGATAGCCCTACATTCAAAAATGTTTGTTGAGGTATGATATTATGAAAATATGATGAGAAATGTAGTCTCCTGACCGTCATGTGTTTATAGTTCTTTTGAAGCTACAATAAAACTCAATTATAACGCCCCTATAATACTCATGTGACTTCAAATGAACGTTGTGTTCATGTCTTTCTTTTCCACAGAAAGTGAAGAATACGCAATTTCGAAAATATATATTTCACTCAGACAGTTAGCAGACATATTTAGTGAACTTCAAGGGAAATTTTCTTCATAAATGCAGGACAGCCATTCCCACAGTGTGTGTCATATCTCCTGCCATACAAGTTAGGACTTTATCTGCCTAGCCTCCGCGCTGTTGATGCCGTCACTATCAGTCGCGGATGCGTTGCTAGGTTCACCGGGCTTTTACCTTTGACGCGTGCGATAAGACTATGATAAATTCCTCGACCTGCTAGCGCGCCTTGGGTAACAGCCCTTCTCGCTATCGAATCCAGCTTATTTTGAGCCGACTCAATAGGGCCAACAAAACCTGACTCAGTTTCCTGCAAAAAGGAAGGCGATTAATGAAATTCCTGATTTGGGACCCTTACTGCTATCAAGGCTTATATTAATCACGCATAATACTAATCAAGACTTGGAAGCCCGAACATCTGCAAAGCGACGCACGTTTCAGTCTGAAACACAACCTTCGTTTTACCTTTAATGACAGGTTTTTCTTTTCTTATGATGCTAAATATAGTGTCAAGTGATACATAATATTTTCGATTTTTACTTTTGGTTTTTCTTCTAAACAGGATAATATCGCAAGATTCAAACAGAACTTCAAAATGACAGACAATGTCCTACCCGAAGCCACAGCGGATTAAAAATAATTATTCGAGGTTCATTTTCCCTTTTCAATTTGCAACAATGCTCCCCTGATGTGAAACCATTGAATAATTAATTTGAAACCCATGATAACAATAAGAAACGAGTTAATTTATTCTCGCCCTCAGATGCCCTTTTTTATGCGAAGGCTTCCTGATTTACATTCGAGTAATTTTTTCCAATCTACTCTCATTTTTATTTGCAACTATTTGAATTGATGATTTTTTGTGTAAGCACAAGGAAGTAAAAAAACCTAATGCATGCAAAAGTTTAGAACTGAGAATGAATGAGAAAATTGCAAGACTGCAAAATTACAACCGGCCCAAAGTCTGAATAAGATATTAATGAAATCTACACGACACCTTAGATTTTTATATGCAGCCTTAACATTTTATTTTCATATAATTTGATATCATAAGCGGGCATGGATATGTATATCAGAAAAAAAATATGCCTATATCTTATAACTACTAGCACGATAAGACGCGCAAATTGTTGATTCAACATATCTATTTTCAGCTCTATTTTCTATCTTATTTGGTTTTATTATCGAAGAGTTATCATATAATAGACGCGAGTTGTTTAATGAAATGATAAATGCGTCCACTTATATTCTTCCTAAAATTAAGTTAAATCTCATTCGCTGATGATTTAAGTGAGTTTAACAAAAAAAGTTAATAAAATATATAAAAATAATTTAAAAGCAATTATAAATGATAAATATATATTACAATTACTTGACAAGATGTTTAACTTTTTTTACCTTTACATCATTATCGTCGCAATTATTTGCCTTTTTTTGTACAAGCCTAAAATATAATTTCCCTTTTCTATCTACATGTGTGTATATGGATACAGACAACTATGTATATTTGTATATATATTCCACGGTTCCCATAGAGGATTCTATGTAGAGATGTTCTCATGCCCTTTTGGTATTGACAAATGAGATAACTATAATCTCAGTCGCACAAACACACATTATCTTAACAGAATAAGGTGACACAGAACTTCAAGTTACTCCGGAACCATTTAAGTGACTAGGTAGGGCTTGTGTAAGTCCTTTTCTTCCTGGCCAACATGTTGAAGTAGGCCGCGATATTTTTTCATTACTTCGTAATTTTGATAAAAACTTTTTTCTGTGAAACCATACGAGATAAGAATAACACGGAATGTGAGTCATAATTTTGTTTTACTGGGACACATTTTTGTGAGAAAAAAACACTGTTTTTGTATAAAAAGCCCGTCTGTCGAAATTACAATTGCGAACTGAAAATATGTGTAATGTAACCGTTGCCTCAGATTACTAGTATGCAGATCGCTTAGTCTATAAAACATAATGCAAATAGAAAACAAACTTGAACTCTGCGATGTTAGATAAATGTTTTGAACTGCTATGTCATTTGTTGTAATTGCTTGGCACACCATTGCATATTCATTTATCCCACTTGTGGTGTGTGTATAGACACAAAGAAGTAAACATTTTCATACCAATTTGTGTGAAGTTAGGTCATATCAGAAAGTTACAAGATAGGAACAGTACACATTATAAAACGTTTGTTTCGATTCTTGTACTGTGTGAGTTAGATAAGGAAAAGTGATCTTTACGCTTGTCCAAATTTACACAGTTGAAGGGGTTTTAGACACAGCTCAAATACGGTGATCAGCCTGTGTATATATTCTTCCAGATTATCTTCATATTTCTCAAAATTTTATCGGGTAATGTACAAATCGCATTGCTCTGAAGAGTGGAGATCTACGAGAGGGAGACAAAAACTGAAAAGGACCCAGTTTAACAGCTTTTTAGGGAAGGTAAGAAAAACACGCGTGATTATTCAGACGTTTTAGGTGCGTGTCAGTTTATGAATATGGCGGCGAAAAATTTTCCCGCCACATTTTTACCGTCTGTCGGACTAGAGGACCCAGTCAGTTGCAGGTGCGATAGTAAGGGCAGAGGCCATAACGTATCTTATCACTTGCCACCACAGATTTAATATATAAAGCGATATATTTATGACAATCAAACATCCAGTCAACAGCTAAGTGCTGGATTTTCCGATAGTCGCAAATGCCATATTTATGACATTTACAGCTGTCAACTCCGCAAAGTCTTTAAAGATAAAGCAAATACGCTGCCAGAAACGTGTGCTTTACGAACTGGATATGATCAAATTAGAACCAGGCGCTGACATAAGATTGTGTATTATCAACTGACGTGAAAATTGTTTCGCAACGATTCTTTTTTCTTTCTTTCCACTTCGCCTTGTTCATTTTGTTTTCCTCTTATTCCTCCTTTCCGTTAATTGCTGCCTCACGGCCGAATATTAATATTTTTGAATCGAAAAAAAAATCTTAGACACGAGCAACCCAGACACTCGTGTTGCTTAAGTAATCTCCAAGGCCCACCTGTGTGAGTCAGCAAAACACTTCTTTTTCGAGACAAGTGTGCAACCGCGCACACCACCCACATTCTTGGAGAGATTATAAAGGGCAGGATCTATCAAAATACAATGCTGCTAAAATAAATCCCATTTTATGCCGATTGGGTGGTAATTAAAGCCGACCTCAGGAAGACAATGCCAGCGGTTTATCCCACACACCTAAACCATTAAGACCGTGTTAATTTAATCGCGGATCGAGTGTAGAACGTTAAGCGGGCTACCTGCAATAGGGCCTAATCCCCTCACACGGACCACCACCTTGGAAGAGCGGGATAAACCTTCCCCGGTCCAGGCCAGAGTTCATTTGCTTTTCTGGCCATTTACCTGGGACAAGGCTGAGAGGCGGGAAATGAGAAAATGAGAAAAACGAGATGAAAGATAGAGTTAAAATAAATGCCAAAGCGTCTGCATACATCATTAAAAAAATCCAAGATTAAATAGTAGTGACTAATACTGAATATAAAAACAATCACTAGAGAAATTGTAGGAGTATAATTATTGCGAATTAAATTTTACATTTAATAGATGTATATAGCAGACAATAATGATAAAAAATAAACAGTCCAAATTAGATACTATTTCTACGAATTAAACGTTGATAAAAGAGGACCAAATGATATGCAAAATATTCTACAATCATGCAGGTAAGAACTTTGTTAGCCACGTCAAACAATCGGCTTTTTCACACAGTCCATCTCAGGTAGACCTTGACGCTAAAGATAATTACTTTGGACAGATGTTTGATAGAATTTCTCCTCTAGCTTCATCAATTCTCGTTTAAGTAGATGATATATAGGTTGATAAGCGTTGTATTATTCACATTTCCACGTTTAAGAATTTCCAAGCAACCCCATGTTAATGTTGAGTATTGATTGCTGTGAGATGGAGAGAATCGATATATCGTATCTTCTGCCGTTCAATTCGCATCATGGTTCAACATGATATTAAAAGTACGCCATTATCAGCTTATGTTATTAAATAGAAGACCACTTAGAAATGCGAACTGTCGTAAATTTTAAACACAGTCACGGGGTGTTTGAAATCGATGAGCATGTCAAGAAATCGAAAAGTTTAGACTAGCCAGATTTATTACTATTTATTTTTTTTTTTGCTGAAATTTAAAGATTATCAAATTGTTTAATTTTTATAGTTAAAAAATTTAAAAAACATAACAGTTTTAAGCTAATAGGTTGTCTGAAATTAAATGCCGCTAGTGAAATAAGTCGCGAAATAATTCCATGATCGCGAAGTTGATATCTAAGCATAAGAACTGCGTCTTTAAAGCATGTGTTTATATAACATGAAACCAAACTTTTAGCTTTGTTGTGCGAATACTTGGCCTAATTATGAACGCCTATCAAACTCAATGCAAGTTAACAAGTGAACACATACGGTGGGCGGGAGAAGATAACTCTAATTAATATCTTCCACAAAGCGTTAATTAAGTCGGGTAGTATTTGAAGGCGTATTCAGCAAACATTACCCGGCGGTTTATCAACAAACGTGCATGATTTACCTGGGTTTCCAAATAAAATCGGGTCAAGATCCTGAATTTGGGTAAACAGAAAAGGGTAAGCACTTCATATTTTGCAACCAATTAATTTTTCTTTATTAATCTACAGCTGGTTAAGATCGTGGCAATTTCTTAATTATCCTTAAAATACTTGAGCGAGCTGCTGGAAACCTGAGTATTTCTTCCGCTAAGTTTGCACAAGCACTGCGACGATTCTTAAATTAAGGACAGGTCTTTCTATTAACTGGAAGGTGCATTATGTCACACTTTCCATATCTTTTCTTTTCAAGTATAAGGATGTGGAAAATAAATGGTGTAATATTTTCCCAAATCACAGCCTGTGTTGCCTTTGTTCAATGAAGTGTCTTGGCAGTGTGCATATTCCCATTATTAATTTCGATTGTATTTGTCCTTTCTTTCACATCAATGATGTTTCAATTGAACACCTGTATTTAGCGGGCATTTTGGTTAGGTCAGTAGTCATGAATAAAGCAATAGATATTACTTTATATTGTATCTAAAGTCGCTGTACACCTTTATTATGGTCTAATCAATATCTCGAACAGGAGGGTAAATATTCAAAGTTTGACATGTTTTATTTTGCTTTGACTAGGTAGGTCAACAAGAGGAAGTCCAAATAAAAAACCCTTCCATTACTCGTCCAGACACAATGTTAGGTTTGTTTAAGGTCTCAACATACTAAACAATCTCAGCCAGCAAAGAGCGGCTATTAGTGTGACCATGGAATGGCGCGCCGGGTCCTAGACCGTGTAATTTTCCAGGTTTAATTCGCATTTGGGGGAGACAGTTCTCTATTCTTCTCTAAAGACACCTGCTTCATACCCAGGGGAAGGGTCCCGACCCTGGCTCAATGTCCATAGCTGGCTCCGGAAAGGCGGGAAACGGGGCGCGACCTTGTACGTCATGACGCAGGTAAGCTCCCGAGGTTCGGGACAGCAATATTTACCCGGTATACCGAAGGCTCCTATACTTGGATCAATGGAATAAGATCTCTCTCTGACCTTACGGCAGTTGAAAATTTATCAAATTTTTTTTTTTAATTTCATGAACTGGTATCGTTGCTTATCGCGCCTTTACCTAGGGCAGAAATGTTGAAGAGCAAAGTATGGATGAGAGAAATTTTACGTCTCTGCCAAGTTTGTTATGTTTGGGGAAAAAAAGGAAAAATTGGAAAGCCTCGGTTGTCTATAATGTCTATAATGGCAATTCCTAATTGATAAACCTACTTTACCACAAGGGCATAAAGACCTCTGCTTTATCTAAGGTTTATTTCATGCTTTTTTTTTTTTTTTGGGGGGGGGGTTGTTTTGTGTCCCTTTTTTTGTATGTACATTAAAAAGGGAGGGTTACACAATTTAATATAAAATGTCAGAAAAAGGTGAGAATTTAAATCCATTTACCATCGATATTCTACTTAGAACATAATTGTCAAAAATATGCATTAGGTTTTTAAATGCTTATTTAAGAATCATGACGGAAATTGGTCGTGCTCAAAACCGTCCTTCAGTTGAATTTACGGATAGTATGCCACATTTCACAATTCTCTTTGTGGTAAGTGGTATTTTCATCAGTAACCTCACTGCAATCAAGGTGAACGATCCCCGAGATGCCAGTGCCCCGAGAATGTCTCCGAATCAAAAAAAGGTTCATTGATCTAAGATTGAATAAGTTTGGAATCAAAATTAAATGAATGTGCTTTTAGCTTCACTAGCGCCACTATTACAAAGTTTCCTCTCTGTAGATTTCCACAAACCAAGCGCAATTGTTTAATGGTAATTGATTTTCTTTTCGCATTTTCCGCTAAAAACTTTCTTGATATGAATGCGGTATATTCTTGACAGATCTACGCATTGTTTCTATTCACTTTCGACATCCTCGCCACACAGCGAAAGCAGGTCTTTGGGGACGAACTCACAGCAGTGAAATCCGTACGTTCTATTCATCGTTTCATGTCTTAATTTTCTGATCCTTTTAACGTTTTGTCGATAGACTAATATGAAACATCCCAATAACAAGATATCGGTCTGTTCTGTTCCAAGATTAAAGCTGATAATCTAATAAGAATGGCTGTAATTTTATAATAGCTACCCGACTCTGATACCATAATCAAATAAAACAATTAATGCTGCCCCTTGAAATGAGTCCAGGAGAGATTGAATTTGCAGCGAGATTGTCTCATCTCGAGTTTCGGAATGATCATTTTCGAAAATATAAAGACGGATCTATTCATCCCCATCTAGGACGACGTCTTTTTTTTTTTTTTTTTTTTTTTATCACCGTAGCTCTGCTTAATCTAGTTCACAAAATTAGCGTCTTAGTATCTCACCAATATGGTTTCCTTATCAGCACGTTTCCGCACAAACAAGGATAATTAAGCAATAAATTTTTAGATTTGTGCTTGTCGTGGTGTTCATAAACTACAAATTACCTGCCTAGGTGCTTTTCTGCGTTCTGCTGGCGCGAAATTAACTTCTCGTTTGCACCTCACCGAAGAAGCGGACGTGCAAATACAATCCATCATTTTTTCCCATATATTGTTCTTTTCATTTGCCGTCGTTATATATCAATTCAGATGAGTTTGCTTATTAATATAGCAGTCAAACTTTCTCATTTCCTGGCATATGCCTTGTTTCAATAATGTGGGAGATGAAGATTTATTTGTTTTTTGCACGTGAAAAATGTGATTTTTTTGCGAAGGTCGTTATCCCTGCTGCGTATTTGATTTGCCTGACACGAAATTATATTGAGAAAAAATAGGGATAAAAGAAGGACAAATAATTGCAACAAATATTCGAATTTGTACTAATAAGATATGCTGATATTCATGTGAAGCGACCTTAGCTTTATAATATTCGTAGTTTCAAGTGAAATACATTCTGTTGGTGTCTAGCAAGAGAGTGAATCAGAATATGAAAAGGACGGTAAAAAAACGGATGCACAAAACCTTTTTCAAATAGTCAAATTTATCTATTATTAAACATAAATGCCGTCAACCGAAAACTAAAGGTGATTCTTGTTTGGCAAAAGTAACAAAATCGTCGCTAATTTTGTTACAAACGCGGATCAAACATGGTCTTTTCCTTGTCTTTGAACGGTCAAGCGCACGAACTCTCAAACCATCATAGGCTGGTATTTGCTGACTGCACGGCCGATTAGGTTGCTCGGTGGCCTGCATCGACCACAACATAGGGGCTGAATGCAGGACGCGCCCTTCAGCTCTTTAATCAAATATTTTTAGACTGACCCCTTACTAGATTACACAAGCTTTTTGACTTTAATCACTTGAATGCGTTTCCATAAAACCACTGCTTTTAATCCAACCGTTTATCTTGGTGTCAACTGCTTAAATGATTGATCGCCAGCTCAAAACTAACAATATATATGGTAGTATTTAACGATATTCTTTTATCTTTGATTTTCCTCGGATTAATATTTGTCCTCGTGCGGCGGTGAATCGCTCGTAAATCATAACGCATTGATAAAGCTGCCACAATTGAACGATGTTGCTTACATATTTATAAAATTTGTTTAGACATTTCATTCACGCTATTTACTTGCTACAAATTCACAAACACTCAGTGTAAATATGCATATTCATCGAACATATTTGAAATTTTCATTTTAGCTATTGACATGAGATATGGCCGTATTTGATCTCATGTCCTCATGCAAATAGGTGGGTAAATGTTTTCAGTAATTTTAAAGATTGACTTGAACTATCGGCACACACTTTGATAGGTAGCTCACACACATTAACTCATTCACCGAGGCGAGGCGGTATCTACGCTCAGATAAGCCCAGTCAATCACTTCAGTAATGACTGAAAAGGATCGCCACGCCGACGTGACATGGAAAGAAAATGGCGGACAAGCCAGAAAACAGTTGTGAGCGATTTTAATATTTTGGCTGGAAATTAATCATCAGTATTTAATGTATGACAAGTGACTTTATTTTCTGATATGAAAATGTGTCAATTAACCACATGCCGCCTGTTCTTTAAGACATCCTGATAATAATATAAACTTATCAAAATAGATAAAAAACAGACTAGAATTGTAAATACATGTATGAAGAATAGAATAAATGATGACTATTGCAGTGCATGAAGTATCTAATAGAATGCAAATGCAAATACGAGTAATGATAAAAGATATAGTAAATAAATAGATTTAAAATATTTCATTATAATACAGTTAAAAAAGACGAATTGACCAGAGAAAATAGAGTCTAATTAAGGCTTTCATAAACAATCACGTGAAACTGGAATAATTTTCAAAACATCATTTATTAAATATGAAAATATATGCTTCTTTTATACATAGACCCATGGTGCTTGTAATAATCTTCTATTATTATTATTATTATTATTATTATTATTATTATTATTATTATTATTATTATTATTATTATCAGCACGCCCATAAGAAAAATATGAAGCTCCCGAAAAATCGGGAAGGCTTAAATTATGGTATTTTTGTGAATATTTTATATTATCGTGAATATTTTATATTACATATTACATAGAAATAAACTAAATATTACATAGAAATACACAATATGAAGAAATAGCCATTGAAGAAATGAAGATCTACGCATCTTATAACGTCACGTAATTGATTTTTTAAAATGTGTTTTCACTTTATATACTTCTTAGATTTGATAGTTAAATTTATGATAATTTTATTCTGGAAACAGGGAAAGACTGTTTATTAAATTTCATAATTTCCTTTCCAGGGTTTCGTTGGACGTTAATAACGAAAACTTCCGGATCAGGGATCTTGTCAAGTTGTGGAATATAGACTTGTTCTTATGACAATTAAAAAGAAAAAGGAAAACATCTGTAAATGACAGTGAGTGCTAAATGAAGACCTTTTCAGACGAAAATTTTGGGTAACTGACTGTGAAATGATTATTAAAATCATATTAAATGATATTTTATAATTATTAAATAATATTTTATGATATTACACAGTAGTACAGTATTATACGAGATCAACTTTTGACACAATATATCTATGGGGATAAATATGACATTATACTGGTGTCATTGTGCTAGTGGATACAATTTTTATGATAAGTTTGCTATATTGACACACATTCATCTCTCAGAATTTTTGATAAGGAAACTGAGAATAAAGTGCAAATACGGCACTCATGGTGAAACACATCTTTTTTGCCGGGTCAGTGTAGTGCGATACTGGTGACTGATAAAAACCCTACAACGCGTGTAATTTTCAATTAATCTCGATAACAAGTTAATATCAAAAAATCTTTACAGATTAAATCAAGGCAATCTAAAAATCAATTACTTTCCCACTGAGACTGGGGCCGCCTGTAGCAAGCTGATGAAGCGGAACAAGACATCTGGGAGGCGAACGAAGAGTTCAACTCAATTTTGCCTCTCAATGCTGGTAGTATTCAACGTACAAAAGCAGTGGAGTTTGAGCCCTACCGCGCAATGTGTATAATTAATATGGACAAAAGATATTATTTCGTTTCATATGGGCATATTGCAGTAATTTTGGTAATGGAAATTTGGGGAGAAAATGGCTTGAATGCACAACGTTGGCCTAGGTTAATACCGTCTTTGCATTGTTAGTGTATTCGCCAGTATGTATAATGCAGTTAACGAATTCTTGCTGCAGTCCGTGAATCTCCAAACTAGGAAAATTTCTTCAGGGGAAATTCTGGTTGGTTTGTTGGTTGATAGGTAAGGCAAAGCTAAGACTGAAATGGTATCCGGAGAGCAGTGATATATTTTCTTGAAACTTCCCTTTATTATCTCTTCACCAATTAAAAAATTCCTTTTCTTGTATTTGTCAATTTGTCTGGCAAAAATACGTTCAGCATTTTTTATTAAAGGTGGCATGAATCCAGACTTAGTGTACATGTCAAGGATGTCGGTTTTGACACATTTCTAATGTTAAGCTAAATTACCCCGTTTGTGTATTCAAGAATTCAGATTAATTTCCTCCGGAAGGGTTCCTGACGCAAACAGGCGTCCACATCTCCCCACGGCAGCAAAGGTGAAAATAAAAGCCACCGTTCTGCAGCATTGTCACGTCCCGGCCGGCTCATGTTTCTGTCCCCTCCCAGCCTTTCTCCAAACAAAACTTTATTTACAGCAAGTTATGACAACACTATTAATTAAATGCCCTCTGTTTTGTTATTATCACAAAGGGGATGAAAGCCCTACACCATTGGACTCTATCCGTGGCTCATTCTGCCACACCGTTACAATGAGGATTTTCCAAACGGCATATTTGCAGTGAAAACGGAGTGAAAATGACCTTTTCGTTGTTGGTCAACACAATTCTTCAGGTGTGGTGAGCAGCATGAAAGGACCCGGAAACCGTCTTCAGAGAGACAGTAGCAAGGGGTTTTCAGAACAATGTAGCATGATAACATGTGCCAGACGGGGTTAACGGTTGACATGTTGGTGAGGTGAGAGGAGAAATAAAAACAAGCTTTTAATTTTGAATGGACTATCAAGACAGTTACAGTTACGCTGAGAGTTTTTCTCATGCAACAGGCATGCCGCAAGTGGGGCACAATAGAAAAAAAAACGAATCTGATTCCAGAATAATACTCACGGGCTTGTTACACGAAAATAAGAATAAAAACAGAGCATCCGATTTTGATCGCCGTTAACTGGCAACGCAGTGATAACAGGGGCTTTTTCCTGTATTTCTAATGAGGGGGGCGGTAGGAATATAAACAAGGGATCAAATTTAAATATATCATTTATTCTTATTACAGTGCCAGTAATAAATGGTTGACATGTAAAATAAGGTTAGGGTAGAAATATAAAAACAAGGAGTCCGATTAAATTGTATTGATCATTATTCTTGCAGTAATGACGATTTACTTTTCGTGTCACGCTTGACATGTTCGTGGGTTGAGGACGAGAGGTTTTAGGTTAAATTTATTTTTCATTATTATTACATTGACAGCAAAAATATTCTCACGTAACATTACCAATACGGTGAGGTGAATGAAATAAATATAAACATTTAGCCTGTTGTCATAGTCCCCATTTTGCAGTCGCAGCGATAAAACCTCAATGTTGTTCATAAAATAATGGAACTATTAATTATGAATTTTTCTAAGCAAAATAGTGTGCTATACTTCCTCTTAGAATATTTGCACGATATCCCTAGTGGTGATATTTTGCCTGAATTAATATGAGAATTCTTAGGGAATTTTCTTTATTCGAAAGAAGTCACCAAATAAATTGGCCAAAAATAATGTATCGAATTTTTGTTTATATTTAAATAAATAAAATATAAACTATAATTACGAATTATAGTTTATATTTTATTTAAACTATAATTACGAATTCGACTATATTCTTGATAAAGAGTCTCTGAACAAAAATATGACATAAATGAATAAAATTAAGAAAACGACAAAGACAATTACATGCGGCTTCCCTTCCAAAAAATAAAAAAGAAAAAAAAAAAAAAAAAAGAAAGAAATTAAAATGAAATAAATAAACTCTTCTTTTATAGGTAAAGATTTTTGAAAAATATCTCGAAGCTTTCAATTCAAGGGAAATACTTCGCCTTAAGTATTAATACAAGTCATAAATTTTCCGCTGATCCGTATGAAATAATACGTGATAGTTGTGGTCCAGCAAACATTGTTCAAAATGCCAAGTGATGTCAAGCGTTCTGTGAAAAAGACAAGATCGATCTAATGTAATCTTTGCAAAGCAATATCGCGTGAAAAAGGGTATCTTACAAGAGCATTTCTACGATTTCCTTAAAAGCGAAAAAAATGCTATAGGCAAGAATTAATTGGATCTTTGTGTCCATTGCGTCAACTCGAAGCCATTCCCAGCAGACGAACACAGGAATGGTATGAAGAAGAGAATAATTGAAGCGCGCTGAAATATAATAAAAGCAGTATCATTTCAAATAACAACTAAATGATTAACTCTCAGTTTTAACCCCGCATGACACTTGATTTGCCTAGACATAATCACGCATCGATCCTCTTTCCAATCGATTTAGTTTTCTATCTTGTGCAGCCGTCAATGATACATATGTAGTGTAGGCTCATCATTTTTTAATTTCTTTATTGACCGAAGCCTTTCTGTTCAAACACCAGATAAGACTTTGCGTCGCCGAGCGCTTCCTAGTTTCTCAGTGAGCAGACGATATGGCCAATCAACGGGAATGGCGCGTTGACATTTCACCACCAGCAAATCGGAGAGCTGAGAATGAAACAGACAGCAAAACTTGCAATTTCCTGTTGGTTTATTGTAAGAAAAATGAATGATTGTTACAGTAAAAACATGCATTTGACTAAAAAACGAAAAAAAGTTGAGAAAACAATGTTAACCTACTGAAAACTTTGGCGCTTTACGATTCAGTGATTTTGAACATGGCGTATACACAATATGGTGAAAAATGGAAGAAATTAAATAAACAAAGCCTAAATACATGCAATATGCACGCAGATTTAATACCAGTATTCAAGTTATATCCTCTAGTACGTCGTCGATAAATTAAAGCTGGGCTGTGCCATCTTTAAAAAGATAATTGCTACAAAAATGCAAATAAGCACCTTAAACGGAAATTTAGTACAACAAAATGTTTCTTATAAACCTATGTTCTTTTTTATAAAAAGCAAAGCTCGCGTTTCAAAACAAATATTTCACTCGGATCCTAAAAAGTGTTTAGGATCCGAATGAAATATTTGTTTTGAAACGTTTTTTATGCTCTCTTTCATTGTGAAATTCAAGCGGGAATTGATATGGTAAAAGCCAAAATAACCGAAATAATTTTTTTGGTTGCCATCTGTATTTCTTCAAATTGTCCATGTACACAAGATAAAGAAATTTTTCTTCATGTTGACTGCAGGGCCGATAAAATTGAAGCAAATGTCATTTCCTCATAAGAAATCAAATCATTTTCATCCGCTGAACCAATTTCACGAAATGAAATTGCAAAGCGACCAATTTGAGGCTTTGTCTGTCAATAAACAAGTAAATCAAGCACCTCATTTGTTCCCATGTTGGGATTTTTTCGACCAAGATTAGTTACAACTTATCAAGACAAAGTATCCAAATATTTTGTGGCTTTTTTGGTTTCTTAGCTTGATATCAAAACAGTCAGTGACGTATCGTTTCTTTGTTTAAGAAATTCATTCTTAACCTGTCAGATTGACCAAAATATCTACGATGAACGCTGTGGTAAGGCCGCAAAATTCTTTATTAATGAAGAAAACTTCTTGTGATTACAAAGCACAAAAATGGTGTAAAGTTGTATAAATAACCTGTAGCATAATTCTCATTAAATGCATAGTTCAGAAAAACCTGTATACACATGGTTTTCTCTCGAAACGCATAAATCGTTTCTTAAATATTTATAATGATACTAATAATAGTACAAAAAACCTTCAAAAGTTCAGACATTTAAAGACAAGGACGGATCAAACAATGGACAGATACCTAGTTAGAGTAAACAAATACACACTGGTTTAGATATAATTTCAGTGACTAAAATGATTCAAACAAAACAAAACTCCGTTTGGTACTGGTTACAATCAAGCAATCTATATGCAAATCTGATTCTCGCATTCTACTGAGTATTTGCCCACAAACATATGTTGTTTGCAATATATTGAATATTCATCTTTTAATATCTTTAATTTATAGATAAACATGATTAATGCAGTTTTATACTCTAAAGCCCTTAAATGCCAAATGCTCGTTGACATTACCTTTTAAAAGGACACAATGCTGTATTGAACACTGTCAATCTGTGACAGAAAAAACTTTCTACATGGCTGGACGTATTTGTCAAAAAACCAGTGCTTTGTATGGTGTTTAAATTATGTAAATCAGAAAACAGAACAAGCATGAAAACGAAATTTGCTATCATGCAATTTCTACCATGATCAAAATATGTGGCATCAGAAGAAAAATAATCAACGCTGCATAACAAATTTCAAAATAAAAAAACTTGCTTAATCTTATAACAAAATAAGGACGTATATCTGTAATCTATAAACAACAGTGCTTCCTTAATGAAGTGCTACATAGACATATCATTATATATTACATTATATATTTTGTTAAAGAACTAAAATCAATTACAATTTAATGATATATGATATATCCAAATAGATCCTACGGTTATATCTAACAGTGCATAAAACTGTTTAAGAAATAAAAATAATACTTCTTGAATTGTCAAACCTGACTTTTGGTAGCAACTGATGCAAAGACCAAGAATCAAAGCATGAGGAAGTAAAGTTGCAAAGTTGGTATTTTTTGGTATTGGTTGACAGAGTGATTTTTCCTTATTTATCTCCTTGGCTAAAAAATCTGGAGTACTCTTGATTTTTTTCTTTCTCTTGAACCAACTGGGAAAATCAGTCATCGGGTTTCATCCCAAGTCCACTGATCTTGCGACGCAATACATTCACCAGTCTTTCCATTCTGAAAAAATAAAAAATGCCACAAAAATACTCACTGGGTAAATTAATGTTTTTTCAAACATTTGCTCCCTGAGGGAAGCAAGGGAGACTAAATACTTTCTCATTCAATGCAAAGTGTTTGCCTAAAATATAATATTTCCTTCCAAAATAGCAGTCCGTCTAAAGGGGACCAAGAGGCTGAGAGGGTTATGCAGCATTGAAGGACAAATCACATGTTGATCCCTCAGGCTCAGTTATTTTAATATTACCAACTGAAAAATGAGATAAATCGAAGCACATTAAGTTTTTTACGGCCCATATTCGGTAGCTTGCAGGTAAGGCGGCCATTCATCAGCACTATGAAAATATTGGTAAATACATCTAAACGTTAGTACACACAGAGGAGAAAGACTGTATTCAGCTTCACCGGAATGGCTGGTGCCATTAGTATGCATAAAACTTTTGTCTGTATTATATCCAATTGTAACATGCTAGCATCTGTGTCTGACTTCTACAATATCAACAAAGGCACCAATTTCTGCCCCAATATTCTGAGATGGGGTTTCATGTAGCAAAAAAGAGTCAAGTAATACAATACTAAATGGTGAAACTACTACAGGCCATTAATATCTGACCTGTTACTGATATAAAGACTAACTTCTTTCAGAAAGTTGACACTGGCTATAATCAGTGACATAATTTCAATCAACCTGAAGTCAATTTATGTTTAAGTGAAGTCAATAAACCAAACAATATTATGGAGGCCTTTTGTAATTTGAATAAACAGAGAGATATTCCTCAGATCTTATGCTGCACAATAGACAAAGAACAATTATGGTTCAAGCCTAAATTTTAATAGATTAAACTTTTTTTTTAATATCAACATTACACTTAGCACAAGAGGATTAGTCTGTTCAAGTACCAAAAAATTTCTAAAATAATAAAAATAAAATGAACATACTTTTCTGCATTTTCTTCAGCCTCTTTCTGTGCCATCCTGGATTTGTTTAATTCGGCCATCGCTTGCTCTTTCTCCATCTGTACCCCTTTGAGGCGTGCCAACAGTTGGTTGCTATCTTTCTGCACCTTTTCGTATACAGCCTCTTTCTGCTTTAGTTGGACTTCGATGTTACCAAGGGTGTTGTTGAATTGATCGCGCATGTTAGCTTCTTGAGACAGCGACTTATGAAGGCTAAAAATAAGGAGAAAAATGCTGTTAATAAATGTCTGCCAAAAAGGTCAGCGATACAATACTTTTAGAAGTACATGTACAGTGTACAGGACTGTGGCAGTTTTGTTATTCCAAATATCATTTACAAAAAAATATTTCAATATGGTTTTTCACATAACAATCAGTTTTCTTTTAATTTTCAGTATTGCTGGAAAATATAATGAAACTGATCAGTTTGGTGAAAAAAATAATTTAAAAAAAACATTAAAAATACTTTTTTGTCATTTTCCAAAATTTATATTTACTCTTTTAACCTTCTGAGTAAACAAGTAAACTTCTGAGTAAATGTGGATCTAATAATAATAATAATAATAATAATAATAATAATAATAATTCATAGTCAATTAATAATTTAGTTTGAGAGTCTTCACCATTTCCTTACCTATAATAGACCCTGATGTTCTGCATTTCCTCTTCCATCTTTCTAGCCTTTGCCAGTGCCATGTCCCTCTCTTGCTGGGTCGCCAGAAGCTTTGCCTGGAAAGAAATAAAATAAAATTAAAGCATGCTTTTATTTAGTTATAACAATGAAACAAGTTATATTCAACTTTTTGAATTAAAACTACTTTTTTTAACTCCTATGTTTGAATTGCACACAAAATTTTCAACATTCTAACAGAAATTGAACAGATGTAAAACTTGTTGAAAAAAGTTTCAAAGAAGACAAATTCTAAATCTAATTATAATTTAATACATTCAGCAATGTCCTTTGTCTTTTGTAAATTTCCTATTGAAATTAAATTCCAATTGTTATGAAAATCTTAACAAATGACAAAATTGTTACATGACCATAGATCAGTTGAATTGGAGAGGGGTTGCCTTTTCATTATAAATACTACATCATTTTTGAATAAATAATTTAAAAAAACCCTCTGTATTAGCAGAAAATATTAATGAAAGACGACTGATATGAGAGATGTTGCCATATATTACAATTAAAAGAAAAATGTAAGATGGGGCACTGTAGTGGCATGGGTAAAGCTAGAGTCTGGAGCTTCATTAGATTTTGTTGTAGGTAAGGACACTGATGTTACATTTCTCTATGGTCCTAAACCTCTCAGGTGAGCCGTAGACCCTTTGTTGTTCTCTTGAGGTGAAGATAAAAATAATGGGCAAAGTTATAACCAGACAGGTACTATAATAAAAGACTAAAACTGTGAAGGATATTTATGGCATTCATATGCCCACTTTAACAGTGGAGCGAAAGACTCCAAAATCCTCTTAAGGTATTGAAATTAAAAATTTGGGCTTGTATTGCAACTCAATCAACTGCTCCAACCAATTGATCTCCATTCCGAAAGTGGAATCCCTTTTAAGCTGCATCAAGATCCACCTATTGAGACAGTGAACAAGTTTGAAATTAAGCTTGGGCACAACTGTATGTATGACAAGGACTCTTCTGGAGGCAAAGTGGCCAGTTCCCTCAGTCAAAAACAGGGTCTCCCACACTCTTGTCAGCATGCAAATGCAAGTAATTCCCTGGATGGTAATCCTAAAGGTGCATAAAGCGGGATTTTCTCTCTGACTGGAGCCTGGTTAATACCCTTGAGGGTGTGCCGCTGAGCTTTAGTCAAAATACAGTGTGACAGCTTCTCCATTGTACCCTCCACTGGCACCAAAGAGGAGAACAAACAAACACTTGTTGAGGGAAAGCTATAGTTTCTCCCAATTCAGAGATTTTCTCTGCATTTTACAAAGGTATTGGGGCATGGTCTGATTATAAGGGGGGGCAATGGAGGTTTACGTGGGGATGGAATCGGAGGATTGGGTTGCTTACAGCAGTAGTGCATACACTGGGAAAGAGGGAAGAAAGAGGGAAAGGCAGAGCACAGAGGCAATGAAACCTTGGTAAAAATAATCCATTCACAACAGTCAGGATGTGAAAAAAAAATCAGCTGTTAAATTTTCATTAGTGGCTAATGGATCATGCATTCTGTGAGGAAAATGAGGTTATGGTGGCTTTAAGCTACATGTTATTTTCAAAAAGGGAGATGTCGCTATAACCACCAGCACTGTTGCTGTTTTCTTTCAAATCAAGGCATACCATAAATGGTTTATCCATCAGATATACAATACATTTTGAGGACTGCATGTCACTGCACCTTCTTTACTTTTGTAAAAGATACTTATTGGACTAAAAACTGTATACTAGAGTCAAGAATTCAAATAGAAGAAAGACATTTAAAAATATGAAAAATTCAAATTAAAAACCATGAGTTTCTTTCTTGAAAAGGGTAAAATCATATGTGAAAAAATTTTATGGGGAGCCAATGTTGACATTATGGATGATATGATGTCTGGGGTAGCACTAGCAATTTTTACTCACTTAGTCAAATCACTACTTTTTCATTGTTTTTTTCACAAAATGGTTTAACTTTAAGTAAACAAGTCCAATCAACCCTATTTTTTTTTAGCCAATTTTAGTCAGTTTTAGCATTTGGCTAAATTGGCAAGTGTTAGCGCTACCCCAGGATGATTTTGCCAAATCAACTAAAAAACCAGGAAGAAAGGAAACAAATTTGTACCTTTCTATACCAAATTTTACAAATAATTGGCTTTTGGAAAAAATGCAAAAGAATAAATATGCACTACACAAAACAACATAAAAAAAACAAACCAGGCCAGCATCAAATAAGCTTAAATGAACTTAAAAATCCATACCATCAAAACTTTATTCTGTTATCACCCACTAAATATCAAATGGATCAAAGTTTTAAAAAAAGGAGACTCATGTTTTATAATCATGAAGTATTTCACTGATACTTTTGAATTGTGCAAACATCAATTATACTGAAATATTCCATCATAATAAATATTAAAAGGTAGACACCATTGTTTTCTCACTCATCCTAATCAACAAATTTATGAATGGATGGAAATGAGAAACTGACCACATGTTTTAATTGGTTGACCCAATTGGACAAAATTCTCATTAATTTTCACCATTACTATTGGACTGTGCTTGTTCCTTATGTAACACATGAAGGGAACTTTTTACCATAGTCCACTACAAGGTTGCAAAGTTACCTCATTCTTTATTTATATCTGCACTGTCAACTCACTCGCCAATCGATATTTTAATTACACATGCTATTGTGCTATTTACTATATTGATTCATCTGTTGGACTATATTTGAGCATACATTAGTGTGCATGCAATGCAAAATTTGTATAAATTTACACACACTGTGAATAAACAGCGTAAGAGTTTTGCTCATTTCTCCTGCAGAGTTTGCCATCCGCAGTATGGTTCCTTCTCAGCAATTAAAACCTGTTGTGGGAGGATAAAGGCCTTAAATTCTCTGTTTGATAAGACTATTGAAGAGTTAATGAGGCAGAAAGTAGCACAATACAATCACCTGTTAGATACCAGCTTTATTCACAATGCCACACACTACATATAGCAAACAATAAATATTGGCAAAAGTGTTGACTTCTTCATTCACAGAGGCAATGTTCCAGTTTCCATCCAGAAGATCAGAAACCCAAGTTGGATGAGGCCGAGACAGATGGCCAAGCTGACGTCAGAATTTCGGTGATTCCTTTCCCGTATTATTTGCTTTTCATTAATAAATATCACAAGAGCACATAAATGGTTGAAATACATTAAAACAAACTTTGTCATGATATGCACACATGCACATATAGAGTATGCTTAAAAGGTATAATGATGTCCATTTGCCACAATCAAATATCAATGGTCAGTGGCGCCACGATGTCTGTAGCGGTCAGAAAAGAAATGGACACCATTATTGGTGTCATTGTGCTCACTTCAACCACTAGACATAGATATGGACCAACAATAATAGAGATCTGTAAAAACCCTGCGACTATACATGACAACGTGTAGTATCTGTTCTATTTGATTTCATGCCGTTCTCATGGCAATTTGCATGCCCGGCTGTAAGCTGGGGAATATACATGCTCGTCATGACAGGCGAGGGATTGACAGATTGAAGGGCCCGGCAAGGGAAACTGAGCAAAGCTCACACGAAGACTCAATTAAGCCCAATCAATAGTGCTAAACACTGTGTACACAGGGAGACTGGTGCCCCGTTACCTGACGATTGAGTCAACAAATAGCGAATGGAATTACAATGACATTAATGGCAGGGAACAATAGTCCTGATGCCTGTGTAGAAGTTATGAACAAAGTTAACAAAAGCCTTGTTTTACCAGTAGTGCTAAACTCTATCCCAGCTAGCCCACTTCAGGTGAAAGGGGACACAAAAGCAATTATAGCAGTACCCCCAACAAAAATAAAACCTTCAAAAGTCTCGAGTAGATGGTTAAATACTTTCTCTCTACTTGTGAGATTCCTAATATGGTGCGTCAATCAAATGACAATACGTCTATTTGAATCAGGATTCATCAGTTACCCGCTCACACATAGAAAGTGATTCAATTCCCTCCCTAAATACCCGACTTTTGGACAGAAAGCTGCCTGTACTGGGATTCAGCATTTTAATCAGCCCTAATGAAGCGTAGCCACATCTCAATACAAATACAGGATGTGCACTGGCCTGAATTGGGAAAAGGCTGAAATTTGATGATCAAATATTATAAAACACGACTTTATCTCCATAATTCAAATATTATCACTTTAGAGTGGAGTGTTTATCGTGGAGAGATTGATTCACCCAGGCAAATAATTTGAGTTGTTGGTAAAGAAAATTATGGCTGTTGATTGGATTAAAATAGCTGTTAGCCCTAGTTCAATATTTTGTAAGTTCACAAAAATATCGAGATGAAGAACAAGAGAGAGTACACAGTGGCTAATCCTGAGATATACAGACACACATGTTGAACTAGAGTGCCTTTAAAAACATTTGAAGTCAACTGTTCATATTGACCAGCCACGTTCAAGTATCAACATCTACAATGAAAGAATCTTGTAATGTTTTACTTAGATAGCATAATGGCTTGTTCATTTGTTTATTTATTTACTGGTGTTAAATATTAACTCAAATGCTCCCGTGTTACTCCAATGCAAGGGAGGACTATTCATAAGTTGACTGAGGCTAACTCTATACACACCATTTCTTTAGGAATATCTATGCAAACCCACACACACATATATCTATATATTTAAAAAGTTACGCATTGCTTTCTTTTTCATCAAGCGGTTGCCAACATGAGATAAGGGTCCTACAGTTAAAATGTGGGGCGTGAGATATGAGTCATTCTTCATAGTTAGTAAAAGAAGTTTATCCTTTCAAAGAAAAAGATAATAAAAAAGTGAAAGAAAATAAATTTTATAAATGGTATTTCTGATTTCCACAAGCAACAATAACATCTTTCCCTTTTACAACTTTTTCCCCATAATCCTCTATTTTATGAAAATTCAAATGTATCATAATGAATAAAATCAAAGATAGAATGGCAAGAAATATATTATATCACCATCCTATTGATGTAAAAAGATTAATATGTCATTAAAATATCATGGAAAGCTCCACAAAGACATGATTGAACAG